GCTGCAAAGGTGGGGGGCTCCCTGAGGGCTTGGGAGCTGCTGGGCTGTGTTTCTGTGCCCACCCAACCACAGGGAAAGGGGGGACAGATCAGAGGAGGGAGGCTCTGGCAGGTTGGAATTCTCCTTCTCTGCCTGTGGATAAATTGTCCCTAATCCAGGCTTGGGGAGTTGTCTGGCTCCTACAGAGAGAGAGAGAGAGAGAGAGTGAAAGAGAGAGGAGGGGAGGGAGAGGGAGGGAGGAGGAAAGCAGGCACACACAAACACAGTGACACAGACACACACACTGTCTCACAAAGGGTGTCTCACATGCATGCACACACGCACTCAGCACTCACACAAAGGTACCACACAAACACTGGGGCACCATTGTGCTGACACACTATGGCACACAGACCTGCTCACACATGTTGACGCTGACACACGGCCATACTGGCATGGACATACAATGACATAGCACACGGACCCACTGACATACACAGAGACACACAGTGGTACATAGACACACAAAGATAAGATCACACAAATCTACACATTCATGGACACATGCATATACTGACCTGTGGTGAAAGAGACCCACAGGGACACCGTGGCCAGTCACACCGCCACACCATGACCCTGAAAACCCAGAGAAAGGCAGAGGTGGGAGGGAGGCAACACTGATCCACAGTGACACCAGCGCCTGCAGTCACAGGCCTCGAGATTGGAAACCTGCAGGGACAGCAGAGGATCAGCCGCACGCCCCCACCCCCTGCCAAACACACATCCAGAGAGCTCTGAGACAGGCAGGAGCCACTTTGGCTCCTGACACAGCGAGATGCAGAGAGCCAGGCAGAGTGTGTACATACCCAGGCACGCTCACACCCCAGCCACAGCTGGGCTCACCTGGCTACACACAGGCACACATGCATCCTTGCATCCTCACATGGTTCCTTGTGTCCTCACACGCTTACAAACAGGCTTAGCTACACACACACACACACACACACACACACACACACACAAAGCTGAATAGAAAGAAATGTGAAAAGTGCACATACCTACATGTATGACAGAAGACACCAAATCCAGGCACACATTCATCCTGGCATCACACACACACACACACAGCTGACCACACATGGACATGCTTAAGCCACGTGTACCCACACAGACATACAGAAATACAGAGCAGCACACAGGCTGAATAGACCCAGGAACCCACATACAGGTGTGTTTACCCAGACAGCTGAGGCTTGACAGACATGCATTTGCACAGGCAGAATCTCGATCACACACATACAAATTCCCAGGCAACCAGAATCTGTAAGCAGTCCGTGAGGCCTGGTTCCCAGACCCCCTCTGGGCTCCAGTTCAGACCTTGAGGAGGCAGACAAATGGGCAGGAAGCAGGGGGGTGGTGAGGAGGGCCATGGTTATTAAAGAAAACAAGAGACATAACCAGTTACCGATGGAAATGGGTAAACACCAGCTGCATATACACCCTCGTGGAAATTCGCATCCACCATCACTCTGAACAGCAACTCTCACACCTGCGTTGTTAATAAGTCTTAGCATTTATAGTTTCTCCAGATGTTCCTCCCCATTCGTTAAGATCTCACTTTTCCCATTTTATAGATGAGAAAACTGAGAGCCAGAAAGGTTGACTGACTTACTCAAAGTCACACAGTTAATGAAGGTTGAGCCAAGGACTGTCTGACTCTCAAAGGCCAGGTTCCTTCCACTGTGGTGTATGTGTGTGTGTACACATGTGTGTACATAGATGTGCAAAAACGTTGCTTCTCAGTAGGAGCCTGGGGTTCTAAGAAACAGGTTTGGCCAGGCGCAGTGGGTCACGCCTATAATCCTAGCACTTTGGGAGGCAGAGGCTGGAGGATTGCTTGAGCCCAGGAGTTTGAGACCAGCCTGGGCAAGATGGTGAGACCCTATCTCTACAAAAAAATTTAAACAAATTAGCCAGGCATGGTGGTGCACACCTGTAGCCCCAGCTACTCAGAAGGCTGAGGTGGGAGGATCACTTGAGACCAGGAATTCAAGGTGGCAGTGAGCTATGATCATGCCACTGCACTCCAACCTGGGCCACTAAATGAGACGAGACCCTGTCTCTCTTTAAAGAAAAAAAAAAAAAAAAAAAAAAAAAAAGAAAGAGGCTCACAGTTCCCCAGTGGGATGATGGGATGAGGTTGGGGCTGGTTGGGACTCCATCTAGGAGAGCCTCTTGGCTTGGTGTCCCTCTGCACCCTGCTGTGTGGCTGGCTTTCCCTGTGTCCATGCTTATCTCTGGGGTGCTGTGTTTGCTTCCACAGATGGGAGCTTGCCTGATTGTCTACCCATTGGCCTGGACCCCAAAGTCCACCCAGCTGAGCGTGTGCAGAGGGCCCCGAGTGCGGGGCGACGCTCAGGCCATTGCAGAGACCACCCTGGAGATGCTGACGAAGACAGGCCTTTCCTGCTGAGCCGGCCCTGTCTGCACAGCCTGCTCAGGTAACAGTGTGCAGGGAAGTCAGGCTTGGGCCTGGGCCACCCCCAGGAAGTGGGGATCAGGGGGACTTGCCTCCCAGTCCCAACAGGGATCCCCTCCCAGCTTAGGCCAAAAAGAGGTTCTTGACAGAATCAAAACATATTAACCCAACATTTACTCAAACTCCCCATTATCCAGAAAGGGGAACTGAGGCTCATGGATATACAATGAGTCCTACCTCCTAGCCTGAGGACTCTTCCCTGCGCCTTGATGACCTGAGAGAACTGGGAGGAGAAAGGGGTTGTGACAATGACCAGGACTCAGGGCAGAGTTGGAAACCAGAGTGCCTGATGTGTGCAGCTGCTGACCCCCCAGGACACTTCTCTACCGGAGTCTGTGGAAGCAGAGAACTGGGAGGCCAAGGTGAGGTGCTGGGAGGGCCTGGGTAGCCCAGGTATGCTAGGGTGTCCTTACTGGACGGGGAGGGGGGCAGTGGCAGGACCCGCCTCCCTACTCCTGGCCCAGGTTTGCCCACCCAGGCTCAGGAGCTGCAGAGCCAGGTGAAGCTGCCCTGCCCTGCAGAGGCAACTCCCTGAACTGACACATGAAGCCTCTGGCTCCAGGAAGCTCCTAGATCTGAGCCTGCCTGGGGACCCCACCCAGCTTCCAAAGGAGCATTCCTGGGGCCTGAGGTCTGGGGGTGGAGCCTCCTGGGATTGTAAGGGTGGGGTACAGCTGTGGGAGGATGCACGGCTGTGTGTATCCAACTGTAAATGGACAGGGCACTCAAGCTTGTGTGCAAGCTGATGTGTGTGGAAGGAAGGCTCTGTCCTTCCGGGCACAGGGGTAATATAGAAGAGTTGTGTAAGGATTGGGCTGGGGGGTGTTCAAGGGCTGTGTATGTGGTACGTGAGAGCATGGATATGCAGGATTCTGGGTGTGTACTGGGCAGGTGTGGGGATACTGTGTGCACCAAACTGAATGGTGTGTGTGCAAGGGTGCTAGTGTACACTGGAGAGATGTGTGTATAGACAATATCTGAATACACTGCGATGGTATACAGTGTGTGCACATGGGGATCAGTGTGTACACTTGGCAAAGTGTGTGCTCAGGGTTCTGGACGTACAGTGGGGAGTGATGTGTACACATGTGGCTCCATTTGTGCTTTGGAGGTGGGTTGGGCAAGCCTTGAGCTGAGCTAGGCTCAGCAGTGCCCAGCCTTGTGGCCAAATCGCTGAAGTCACTTCCTTTCCAGCAGCAACTTTCCAGGAGGAGGAGTTCTTCAGACCTGGGCGGGGAGGGAGGTGGGGGGCGGAACAAGGAGCTCTCTGGGGAAGGAGGTGGGGCGGGGGTGAGAGGCTGCTGGGAGGGCCTAGTGGGGCTGGAGGAGGGGAGTCCTCCAGGAGACAGAAGGAAAGACAAGGACAGGAGTCTGGAAGGGCCAAGGGCAGGAGGGGAGGGGGGAGGAGCAGGGCGGGAAGCATAGTCCCTGGGTGACCTCGGAGGGAGGAAGGGAGGGCCGCCGGCAGGGTGACCCTCGGGTCCAGCCAGAGCTGGCGGTGGCGCCCGCACACCTGGCACCCAGGGCAGGGGGCTGGCAGGGGGCGGTTCTGGGGCAGACCTGCTTGCCAGGTGCCCCGCTCCGGGCAGGAAGGGGGTGGGCGAGGGTTGCACAAAGGAGCTCTGTGTGGCTGGGGGTAGGGTGGGGTGGGGTGTGCAGTGCTGTGCTGTGCTGTGGTGGGGTGGGGGGGGTGCCTGATGGCCCCAGGGGGCGGGGCAGGGCCAGCTCCCCTTGGGGGCATCAGTGGCTCCAAGGGGACACCTAGTGGCAAGGGAGAGTACTGCATCTAGTTGAATGGCTGTTGGTGGGAGGTGGTAGCTAGAAGCTGAGAGAATAGATTAGAAGTCGAAAATTAGAACTGATGGTTAGGACTAGGACAGTTGGAGGAGGCTGCATGGGAGGGGCTGAATCGCTGGACAGCAAAGCAGTTTGATTTAGAGAAGCCCAACAAACCTAAATTCAGACACCAGCTGAATTGAATGAGATGGCTGTTTGTCCTTAAGGGCATAACTTCACCTCTCTGTGCCTCTGTTTAAATGATGCCACATGAGTGACAGCTGCCATTATTATTGCCATTATTGTTTTTGTTATGATATTGTGCCTGGGATCAGGTTGGAGGATCTTCAGGTGTTATTGTGTGGGCGGATAGGTAGCTGAAGGGAAGGAGGTTGAGAGAGGTGATGACTAGTCCCTGAGGGGCAGATCCTGAGAGATAAGGCCCCTGGAGGAGAAGGGAGGTGATGGGAAGGTCTCAGAGCACCAGTAATGGCCCCTTTGAAGCAGTGTTTTCCATTTGAGGACATCCCTGGGCCTTCGAACCAGGCTGGGAGGAAAATGGTGGGGAAGGAGGAGTGTGCAAGCTGGAGAGAGGGTCATGAGGCCGGAAGTGAGAGCTGGGGCTGGCAGCCTGGCTCCCCTGGGGAGGCGGTGGTGTGTGGGGGAGGGGAAGGAGGGCTGGGGAAGGGGTGGGGTGGTCACAGCCACAGCGGGGGAGGGTGGGGCTGGGGACTCAAGGATGTGGGCTGGCGCTTCCCGGCACTGTGCACAGCAGGTTGGGGCCCCTAGCTCCCTCCCAGCCGGCTGGTGTCCCCATGGGCAAACTCAGACACACTGACCCAGCAGCAGACAGGCAGACAGAAGGACCCCTTTGACTTTGTCCACAGACCAAGACTAGGTGGTACCCTTGGGAGAGGGCCAAGAGAATGGCCACGGGGGTGTGGTGAAGAGGGGAGCCAGCTGCTTCCCTCAGATCCTGGAGGCTTCGAAAGAGAGCAGTGACCAGCCTCAGGAGGCCTGGCGGGAGGACACGCCCAGAGGTCTTCACGGGTGGGTGGAACAGAAGCCACCACCGGAGAGGAGGTTTTTCTCTTCTGCCAAGGTCACACCCTCAGGCCCCAGCTGGGAGGTCTCCAGAGTGGGGAAGGCTCAGCTAGCCTGACCCTCAGTAAGGGAGGGAGGGGGCTTCTGGTAGGCACCTCCAAGTGGGCGCCACGAGCCACGGCACAACCATACTGTTGGAAACTGGACTTGGAGGTTCCAAAGTCTGAGCCCCTTTTCTCATTTGTGAGGGTGTTACCCACTGTCCTCCCTGCGAGAGCAACAGTGCTCCAAGTTCTTGGACTAGAGAGAGCCTGACCTGGGAGGGGCCAGGTCCACAGCCAGGCCTGGGAGAGAGCAAAGCCCTGAGTGAGCCAGTAGGTGGGACAATGAGGAGCAGCTGAGGCCTGGAACCTGCAGAAGAGGGAAGGAACAGTGAACGCAGGGATGTTCCACCTGGGTGGGCAACAAAAGGGTCCCTTCCCTTGCCATTCTGTGGCCTCAGACAAGGTCACTTTCCCTCTTCAGGTCTCAGTTTCCTCATCTGTAAAATGGGAGAGGCATGAGATGGCACTAGAAAGTGTACCCACTGGGGTAGCTGGTTAAGAATCCAGATTCCCAGATGTCCCTTCACATCTATGAGTCACTCTCCTGGACTAGGGCCTGGGTATCTGGAATGTTACACAGCTCCCCCAGGCCCAGTCTTTGGAAGCCAATGGGTTAGATAATTTTAAGGTTCCTCCCAGCCTTAAATTAGACCATGGCGCTAGAAGGAGCATTTTCAGAAGTGGCTGAAGGATTATTGCAGGAGCTGGGAGTGGAAGGAGGTTTTGGACTTAAGGCAGAATTAGGAATCCTGCCACTTAGCAGCTATGTGATTTCAGGCAAGTTACACATCCACTCTGAGCCAGTTTCCCCTATAACATGAGGATAATAAATCATGCCCCTCAGGCTGTTGTGAGGATTCAGCGGGTCATAGATATGTAGGTGCTTTGTAGACTGCAAATAGCCATTCCCCAAAGGGGAGCAGAGAAGTGTCTCTTTCTGCTCTCTCCTGTCCCCGAGTCAGCTCTGCAGTCTTCCTGTGGAGAGTCTGGCTGCTGGGGAGAGTCTACATGGGTCTGTGGCATGTAGGCCTCAGGCATCAGTACTAGGTCAGAGCCAAACATTAGGCAGTGATCAAGGTCAGTCTTCAAGACCTTCACAATGTTGGGGCCCGTTCAGCTACCTGCTCCTTGAGATCCCAGCTCCTGGGATCAGCCACGGCCCTGAGTCCTCAGACTCCTTTGGGAGTCAGACATACCTGGATCTAAATCCCAGCTCTGCCCTGACCAGCTCAGGGAGTCAGTTGGTAAATATTTATATAGCATTCATAGCCCAGGCCCTGGGGTCAGACGATACAGCAGTAAACAAGACAGACATGATCCCCGCCTCTGAAAAGCCCACACTCTTGAGGTGGGGGGACACACTAAGCAGCCAGTCACGCAAGTAATTGATTATAATGGTGATAAGTACTATGAAGGTGAAATAGATAGGGCTCTGAGAGGATGTAGCAGGGGCCAAGGTAAGGCGAGAGGTAGGATGGGGCAGCAGAGTTTTTCTGATGAAGGTGAAAGAAGGGTTAGAAAATGTCCCTTTTCACATTCTTGGGTCCTTCCCTCAGCATCCTTCTTGAGTCTGGAGAAGAAGAAAAAAGAGCCTCAAGGGAAAAGGAGGGGTTGATTGCTCTGTGTACTTCATTTGTTTGTTCATTCATTCAACAAACTTTTTAAATTTAATTTTTTGGAGAAAGGATCTCACTCTGCTGCCCAGGCTGGAGAGCAGTGGCTCGATCATAGCTCAGAGCAGCCAGCTTCAACTTCCCGGACTCAAGCGATCCCGCCACCTCAGCCTCTTGAGTAGCTGGGACTATAGGCGTGCACCATCATGCCCAGCTAATTTTTAAATGTTTGTAGGGACGGGGTCATGCTATGTTGCCCAGGCTGGTCTCGAACTCCTGGACTCAAGCGATCCTCCTGCCACAGCCTCCCATAGTGCTGGGATTACAGGTGTGAGCTCCTGTGCCTGGCCACACAGCCATTTTTTAAACACTGCTATAGGCCATGTGCTGTTCTGAGTGTTGGGGGATACATAAAGCAGTGAACAGGACAGATATCCCTGCTTTTATCGTGTTTACCACTTTCCAGGGGATAGTTTCTGTAAGACTGGGGAGGATAATCATATTGATCTCAGGTTTGTATGGGGAATTTGATGAGATAATCTATATAAAGTGCTTGGCCCAGTGTTTGGCAACAGAAAATGTCACCAAACTATGGGCTTTTATTGTTGTTGATTCCCAGTGTGACTGCTCTGACCTCAGCCATCTTCACTTTTCTTGGCAGCTTTCATCCCACTAGTAATTAAGTCGTTTGTAATGATCTGATTGGTATCTGTCTGTCCAGTCCTTGTGCAAAGTAGGTACTTCATAACTAATGAGTGTATGAATGAATGATGTTACTCTATCTCTGAGCCTCCATTTCTTCATCTGCAAAATGGGGTTATTAATAGCCCCTACCTCACAGGATTGGTATGAAGAATTAAATGAAACGATGCCTGGACAGCTTCCAGCCCAGTACCTGGCGCGCAGTAGGTGCTCACTAAACCTGAGCTGCGATGGTCCTTTCCAGGCGCTGTCCACGCCCCGAGGCCTGGGCTCAGGCCGAAGTTGCTCCACAGCACCCCTAGCTGACAGCCAGCGACTGGCAGAGCCCCCAGGCACGGGGGCCCTCTCTCTTCCAGGTCAGCCGGGTGTCTGCACTGGAGGGAGCACCGAGGTGGTGGGGGGGTTCCTGGAGGAGGCTGGGCTGGTGGGCAGGGGTTGCGCTGCAGCCACCAGACCAGGGACTTCAGATCTATTGCTTGTCTTGTTACCCACAGAGATCTCCAGTGTGACAGCCCAGGCGGCAGAGCCGAGGGTGAGTGGCTGGGGTTCTCCTGGAGCCTGGGGATGAGGGCAGGAAGGAGGGAGGCTGTGTCCTTGTTAGAACTTCCTGGCCTTCTCCTTAAGTTTGATCACTCTGCTGATGGGCTTCCCTCTCAAAGGCAGGGGTCCCATTCTTCCTGAGTGCATAGCCAGATTCCCAAAGGGGATGAGTTGTCAATAAGTGAAACTGGGCTGGGCACAGTGGCTCACGCCTGTAATCCCAGTACTTTGGGAGGCCACGATGGGTGGATCATCTGAGGTCATGAGTTCAAGACCAGCCTGGCCAACATGGTGAAACCCCGTCTCTACTAAAATACAAAAATTAGCCGGGCATGGTGGTGCATGCCTATAATCCCAGGTACTTGGGAGGCTGAGACGTGAGAATCGCTTGCACCAGGAGGCAGAAGTTGGAGGGAGCTAAGATTATGCTACTGCACTCCAGCCTGGGTGACAGAGCAAGACTCTCTATCTCTTAAAAGAAAAAAAAAAAGCTGGGCGCGGTGGCTCAAGCCTGTAATCCCAGCACTTTGGGAGGCCGAGGCGGGTGGATCACGAGGTCAAGAGATCGAGACCATCCTGGTCAGCATGGTGAAACCCTGTCTCTACTAAAAATACAAAAAATTAGCTGGGCATGGTGGTGTGTGCCTGTAATCCCAGCTACTCAGGAGGCTGAGGCAGGAGAATTGCCTGAACCCAGGAGGCGGAGGTTGCGGTGAGCCGAGATCACACCATTGCACTCCAGCCTGGCTAACAAGAGCGAGACTCCGTCTCAAAAAACAAAACCAAAAAAAAAAAAAAAAAGTGAAACTGGAGCCCATTAGGGGCTCACTGTGCATGTGGCGATTTGGGAAAGGCTGGGAGTCAGCAAGCGGATTGGGCTTGGGGTGGGGACGGGAGCTTGGTAAGGAGATGAGACCTCAGGAAGGAGGGGTTCAGGAGCTCTTTGAGGATATGGGAGGCTGATGAGGATGTGGATGTTCAGTAAGGGACCTCCTGCTTTTCCTGCCTGGCAGGTCTTGGTCCCGGCTTCTCGCACCCTCATGTCAGCCCCGGCCCCGCCCGGAGGCCTGCGGAGGACAAGGTCAGGATGCGTGTGAAGCCCCAGGGCCTGGTGGTGACTTCCAGTGCCGTGTGCAGCTCTCCTGACTACCTCCGGGAGCCCAAGTACTACCCCGGCGGCCCCCCCACCCCCCGGCCCCTACTTCCCACCCGGCCCCCTGCCAGCCCACCCGACAAGGCCTTCTCCACCCACGCCTTCTCTGAGAACCCACGCCCACCCCCACGCCGGGACCCCAGCACCCGACGCCCACCAGTCCTTGCCAAGGGGGACGACCCGCTGCCCCCACGGGCAGCCCGTCCTGTCTCACAGGCCCGCTGCCCCACACCGGCTGGAGACGGCAGCAGCTCCCGACGCTGCTGGGACAACGGGCGGGTGAACCTGCGACCAGTGGTGCAGCTGATTGACATCATGAAGGACCTGACACGCCTCTCCCAGGACCTGCAGCACAGTGGTGTACACCTGGACTGTGGTGGGCTCCGACTCAGTCGCCCACCAGCACCGCCACCCGGTGACCTACAGTATAGCTTCTTCTCCTCACCCAGCCTGGCCAACAGCATCCGTAGCCCTGAGGAGCGGGCCACCCCACATGCCAAGTCGGAGAGGCCCAGCCACCCCCTCTACGAGCCTGAGCCTGAGCCTAGGGACAGTCCCCAGCCTGGCCAAGGCCATAGTCCCGGAGCCACGGCTTCGGCCACAGGTCTGCCCCCAGAGCCTGAGCCAGACGGCACTGATTACTCAGAACTCGCTGACGCCGACATCCTTAGTGAGCTGGCCTCCCTCACTTGCCCAGAGGCCCAGCTGCTCGAGGCCCAGGCCCTTGAGCCACCATCGCCTGAGCCGGAGCCTCAGCTCCTGGACCCCCAGCCCCGCTTCCTGGACCCACAGGCACTAGAGCCGCTCGGGGAAGCTTTGGAGCTGCCACCCCTGCAACCTCTTGCTGATCCTCTGGGGCTGCCGGGCCTGGCTCTCCAGGCCCTGGACACCCTGCCTGACTCCCTGGAGTCACAGCTGCTTGACCCCCAGGCACTCGACCCCCTGCCCAAGCTGCTTGACGTCCCAGGTCGCCGTCTGGAGCCCCAGCAGCCCCTGGGGCACTGCCCACTGGCCGAGCCCTTGCGCCTGGACTTGTGCTCACCGCACGGCCCCCCTGGGCCTGAGGGTCACCCCAAGTACGCCTTGCGGCGCACTGATAGGCCAAAGATCCTGTGTCGCCGGCGGAAAGCCGGACGGGGGCGCAAGGCAGACGCCGGACCCGAGGGCCGCCTACTGCCTCTGCCTATGCCTACAGGGCTGGCAGCCGCCCTGGCCGAACCCCCGCCGCCACCGCCTCCTTCACCCCCTGCCCTGCCAGGCCCAGGCCCAGTCTCAGTCCAAGAGCTGAAGCCGGAATCTTCCCAGACCCCAGTGGTCTCTACCCGCAAAGGCAAGTGCCGGGGCGTGCGGCGCATGGTGGTGAAGATGGCCAAGATCCCTGTATCTCTGGGGCGGCGGAACAAGACCACGTACAAAGTGTCTTCCTTGAGCAGCAGCCTGAGCGTGGAGGGCAAGGAGCTGGGCCTGCGCGTGTCAGCTGAGCCCACCCCACTGCTGAAGATGAAGAACAACGGGCGGAATGTGGTAGTGGTCTTCCCACCGGGGGAGATGCCCATCATTCTCAAGCGCAAGCGCGGCCGCCCTCCTAAGAACTTGCTGCTGGGTCCCGGCAAGCCCAAGGAGCCAGCCGTGGTGGCGGCCGAGGCAGCCACTGTGGCAACAGCCACCATGGCCATGCCAGAGGTGAAGAAGCGGCGGCGGCGGAAGCAGAAGCTGGCCTCTCCCCAGCCATCCTACGCCGCCGATGCCAACGACAGCAAGGCCGAGTACTCAGATGTCCTAGCCAAGCTGGCCTTCCTGAACCGCCAGAGCCAGTGTGCTGGCCGGTGCTCGCCGCCCCGTTGCTGGACACCCAGTGAGCCAGAGTCGGTGCACCAGGCCCCCGACACCCAGAGCATCTCCCACTTCCTGCATCGCGTGCAGGGCTTCCGGCGGCGTGGGGGCAAAGCAGGCGGGTTTGGTGGCCGGGGTGGGGGCCATGCGGCCAAGTCAGCCCGATGCTCCTTCAGTGACTTCTTCGAGGGCATCGGCAAGAAGAAGAAGGTGGTGGCCGTGACTGCTGCTGGGGTAGGGGGCCCTGGCCTCACTGAGTTGGGGCACCCACGCAAACGGGGCCGGGGGGAGGTGGACGCTGTGACTGGGAAGCCAAAGCGCAAGCGGCGGTCCCGGAAGAATGGGACTCTGTTCCCAGAGCAGGTGCCCAGCGGCCCGGGCTTCGGGGAGACGGGTGCTGAGTGGGCTGGGGATAAGGGTGGTGGCTGGGCCCCTCACCATGGGCACCCAGGCGGGCAAGCTGGCCGAAACTGTGGGTTTCAGGGGACCGAGGCCCGGGCCTTTGCCTCCACCGGGCTGGAGAGTGGAGCCTCAGGCCGTGGCAGCTACTACAGCGCGGGCGCACCCTCGGGCCAGACCGAGCTCAGCCAGGAGCGCCAAAACCTCTTCACCGGCTACTTCCGCTCGCTGCTCGATTCAGATGACTCCTCTGATCTCTTGGACTTTGCCCTCTCATCCTCTCGCCCAGAGTCCCGGAAGGCCTCAGGCACCTATGCAGGGCCACCCACCAGTGCCCTGCCTGCCCAGCGGGGCCTGGGCACCTTCCCCAGCCGTGGAGCCAAGGCTAGCCCAGTGGCAGTGGGTAGCGGCGGGGCTGGGGCAGACCCCTCCTTCCAGCCTGTCCTGCCCACACGCCAGACCTTCCCACCAGGACGGGCAGCAAGCTATGGGCTAACTCCAGCCACTTCAGACTGCCGGGCAGCCGAGACCTTCCCAAAGCTGGCTCCCCCGCCCTCAGCTGTGGCCCGCTCACCTACCACCCACCCACCTGCCAACACCTACCTGCCCCAGTACAGCAGCTATGGGGCTGGACAAAGCGTATTCGCCCCAGCTAAGCCCTTTACGGGCCAGGACTGCGCTAACAGCAAGGACTGCAGCTTCGCTTATGGCAGCGGCAACAGCCTTCCTGCCTCACCCAGCAGCGCCCACAGCGCCGGCTATGCCCCACCGCCTACTGGGGGCCCCTGCCTGCCACCAAGCAAGGCCTCTTTCTTCAACAGCTCCGAGGGGACCCCTTTCTCTGGTTCAGCCCCCACACCCCTGCGCTGTGATAGCCGGGCCAGCACAGTCTCGCCTGGCGGCTACATGGTGCCCAAAGGCACCACTGCCTCTGCCACCTCCGCAGCCTCTGCCGCCTCCTCCTCCTCCTCCTCCTTCCAGCCCTCGCCCGAGAACTGTCGGCAGTTTGCGGGGGCTTCTCAGTGGCCTTTCCGGCAGGGCTATGGAGGCCTGGACTGGGCCTCAGAGGCCTTTAGTCAGCTCTACAATCCCAGTTTTGACTGCCACGTCAGTGAGCCCAATGTGATCCTGGACATCTCCAACTACACACCGCAGAAGGTGAAGCAGCAGACCGCCGTGTCAGAGACCTTCTCCGAGTCCTCCTCCGACAGCACCCAGTTCAATCAGCCGGTCGGTGGTGGCGGGTTTCGGCGTGCCAACAGCGAGGCCTCAAGTAGTGAGGGCCAGTCAAGCCTGTCCAGCCTGGAGAAACTGATGATGGACTGGAACGAGGCATCATCTGCCCCCGGCTACAACTGGAACCAGAGTGTCCTCTTTCAGAGTAGCTCCAAGCCCGGCCGTGGACGGCGGAAGAAGGTGGACCTGTTCGAGGCCTCACATCTGGGCTTCCCAACGTCCGCCTCTGCTGCTGCCTCAGGCTACCCATCCAAACGGAGCACCGGGCCCCGGCAGCCGCGGGGTGGACGGGGCGGTGGGGCCTGCTCAGCCAAGAAGGAGCGGGGTGGCGCAGCGGCCAAAGCCAAGTTCATCCCCAAGCCACAGCCGGTCAACCCACTGTTCCAGGACAGTCCCGACCTCGGCCTGGACTACTATAGTGGGGACAGCAGCATGTCACCACTGCCCTCACAGTCGAGGGCCTTCAGCGTGGGAGAGCGAGACCCCTGTGACTTCATAGGACCCTACTCCATGAACCCGTCCACGCCTTCCGACGGCACCTTTGGCCAAGGCTTCCACTGCGACTCGCCCAGCCTGGGTGCTCCCGAGCTTGATGGCAAGCATTTCCCACCGCTGGCCCACCCACCCACGGTGTTCGACGCCGGCCTGCAGAAGGCGTACTCACCCACCTGCTCGCCCACGCTGGGCTTCAAGGAAGAGCTGCGGCCACCGCCCACAAAGCTGGCTGCCTGCGAGCCCCTCAAGCATGGGCTCCAGGGGGCCAGCCTGGGCCACGCAGCTGCAGCCCAGGCCCACCTGAGCTGCCGGGACCTGCCACTGGGCCAGCCCCACTACGATTCCCCCAGCTGCAAGGGCACAGCATACTGGTACCCACCAGGCTCAGCTGCCCGCAGCCCGCCCTATGAAGGCAAGGTGGGTACGGGGCTGCTGGCTGACTTCCTGGGCAGGACGGAGGCCGCATGCCTCAGTGCCCCTCACCTGGCTAGCCCACCAGCCACGCCCAAGGCCGACAAGGAGCCACTGGAGATGGCCCGGCCCCCCGGCCCACCCCGTGGCCCTGCTGCAGCCGCTGCTGGCTATGGCTGCCCACTCCTTAGTGACTTGACCCTGTCCCCCGTGCCGAGGGACTCGCTGCTGCCCCTGCAGGACACTGCCTACAGGTACCCAGGCTTTATGCCGCAGGCGCATCCCGGCCTAGGTGGGGGCCCCAAGAGCGGCTTCCTGGGGCCCATGGCGGAACCTCACCCTGAGGACACATTCACCGTCACGTCCCTGTAGTGCCAACTGAAGTGCCGACTGGACCGCGAGGTTTTGTTCCTGGGTGAGTCTGGGGATGTGGGCACAGCGGGCAGAAGCCGGGGTGGGGAGAGGACTTCAGAGCTTAGCCAAGGACAGAGGTATGGAGTGAGCAGGAAGCAGGTGCAGGATTTAAGGGCAAGGCTGGGACCGGCAGCAGGGAGTAGGGATCCACTGCTGCAGACAGTCTCAGGAGGAGATGCGGTGCTGGGGCTGGGAACTCAGCAGGTGGCTTGGACGTTCAAGGAGTCTTGTTAATTGAAATGGCAGGAGGACCATAGACTGGATGGGGCCCCGGCGTTTGGTTTATCAAGTTTTCATTTCCTTAGTTCATGCTATGTCTTGGGCCGGAAGTGAGTATTTCCCAGGAAATATGCTGATGAGGGTGGGCATTTGCATCACCCTGTGTGAGACAGGTGAAGGGGGGAAGCAGGTTGGATAGTCGTCTACCCAGGGCCTATCCAGAGGACCAGCCCTGCTGGTACCCCCATTTCCCTGGGAGCTTCATTGATTCTAAGAGGCAGCCTGGTGAGGGCCAGGCCAAGAGAGTGGCCAGTATGGCTTGGTCACACACTCTGCAAGGGCTTCACAGGATGGCCCAAAGTGTCCTCTCTTGGCCTCCCAAGGTACCCCCAAGGGCTATTTTCCAACATCTGTGGCCTGAGATAGGCTAGGTGTGGCCAGGAGCATGTGGGGTAGGGACCCAGAAGTGGAGAAGGGGTGCTGGGATCCCACTGTCCCTGCAAACCTGCAGCCATGGGGACTACCTTCAGGCAAGATATTTTGACCCTGGAAAAGCCAGTCCCTTTCCTGAAGCTTTTCTGAGAGTTCAGTTAAAGAGTTTTAAATGTTTAGATACTGTTTTTGTCAGGTACTGTGACCTCATTAATTGGAGTCAGTTTTAGCATTCTCAAGATTTGGTGTTTTAAAAAGGAAAATAAAAGACAGAAAATGCCCCCAAAATGATCAAAGGGAACAGGGTAGAAGGAGTCATTTTCTTGAAGAGCAGCCTGCTCCAGAAATACAGCCACCACCGGCCCCACTTTAGGACGACAGATCTGTCACAAAATTGGCCCAGATGTGGCGGTTGGTGGCGGGGTAGGCTGGAGGCATGTCTGAGCCCCTCACCCTTCACCTCTGCTGCCACTGAAGCTTCCTGGGAGTTTCTCTTCCTGGAGGAGTAGCTGGGCTCCTGGAAAACCCCATCTGTGCTCTGGGAGGCCATTCAAGGCCAGGGTGACTCAGGGTCCTGAAGTCATGTCAGTGGAAACTTGTTACCCGCTCTCTTTCAGACCCTAGCTCCCCTGGTGCCTGAAGGTGACAAAGGGCAGCGGGCGGGAATCAGGAGGCCTGGGGGAGGACCATTCCTGGATTGGCCACCAATTTGCCGCATGCCCTTGACCAAGCTTTTGCCCCTCTCTAAGCCTCAGTTTCCCCGTCTTTTCAAGGAAATTTACTTTGATAATCCCTTAGGCTCTTGTGTAGCTCTGCATGGCAGTGACAATGAAGCAAACTTTTTTTTTTTTTTTTTTTTTTTTTTTTTTTTTGGCAGCATCTCTTCCTTCCTAATGAAGCCAGGCCAAGATTAAAATGGCCTTCCATTCCCCATGTGTCTCACTGCAAGCAGCAGAGCCTCAGATCTGAAGCAGGCCAGGGAGAAGCTGCTTAGGGTTTAAAATGTCAAACTCTTGATCCTTCTCACTGGAGGGGAGATGTCTCATGGATAATCCAGAAATGTGAAATAATCCAAAACTGTTCCTCCCAGGCTCTGGGTGGGAAAATGGACGGGTGTGGGGGCTGGGTGTTTGGGCAGGTCACAGCTCAGTGAAATACATAATGGAACCACCCAGTGAGGCCTGAACACAGGAGGAACTGGGATGCCATCCAGCCCCACATTCTGGCCCTGCTCCCCACTCAGGGCTGGGAGTTACCAGTGCTGTCCTCAAACCAGTGCATTCCATTGTTCTAGAGACATCTGTCCAGCACCCACTAGATGCCAGGCATTGGGGGCACCACAGTGAACACCACAAATGAGGTACTGGTCCTCAGGGGGCTTCCCATTTAAAGGGAAAGACAACAAATGTGGCATAAAGCATGTGATGATTCCAGCTATGGGAAGCGATGTAAGCCAAAAAAGCTAGAAGCTTGTGAGTGCACACAGCATGCTGACTGGACCTTGAAGCTAAGCCTGAGGGATGAGGGGGCTAGACAGCTGGAGGGGAGTGGGAAGAGCATTCTGGGCAAAGGGAACAGCAGTATGGAAAGCCTGGAGGCAAGAAGGGGCTCAGCTTTGAGGATCTGCCTATGGGAAGGCCGTAAAGCTAAGTGAGGGGATGAGGCAGGCGAGGCCAGATCATGCGGGACATTGGAAGGAGTCTGAACTTCATTCCCAGACACAAGGGGATCCACTGAAGAGTTCCCAGCCGGAATTCCCCAGGCCACCGTGGAGCAGGGCTAGTTTTGAAGCAGGGAGACCAGCTGCAGTGGTCTATACATGCAGTGATGATGGCCCAGACTCAGGTTGGGGGAGGGCTGCCTCCTCTCTCTGTCTAAGATGGCACACAGATTCCAGGGCAACCCTGCAGTGCCAGGAGATGATCAAAATCACCACAGGAATGAGAAAGAGTTAGAGATACAGAGAAGGAGAGTGGCAAGGAAGAAGAGTTCACAGAGGGAGTTGCCACTCTCAACAGAGGGCTTAAGCAGAGAGGACCAGGACACGCTCATTCACCAACAGCAGTGAGCAGTTTTGTTGCCAGGCACTGGAGAAGCAGTCATTGGCCTTAGTTTCCCAACTTGAGCCCCTGTGTGTCCATCCAATGCTGGGTACTGGGGAGACAAGCATGGCCCCTGTCCTCCAGTTCAACCTCCATCCCAGGAAACTAAAACAGGTACACAAGGAACCTGAAAACACCCGGTAGAGAGTGGCAGGTGCCCAGAGCCAGTGAGAAACAAAGATTTGCACTGGGCAGCTGAGTGTTGTGGTCAGAAGCCAGCCCTCTGCCCCCTTGATGAGAAAAGGGACATTTGTGCTGGGCCCTTTATGTAACACCACCTCACTGATCCTTCACAGCAGATTACGAGGTGAGGTGTGTCTCCCAACCACAGCCACCTGCCTCCTGCCCTGTCCCACATTAGAGAGACTTGAGGAATGGGTGCAGCTCTGAACGTTGCCCAGGGGATTCATTAGCCAATAGAGCCAGGATTAGCACCCAGTACTGTCCCTCCTGAGCCTGGGTACTCTGCCATATGGCTGCCTCTCGTCTCCCCACACCTCTGATTCCCCATCTGCAAAAGGACAGGTTGGATTGGACAATCCCTACAACTCTTGCTGGGTCTGACCTCTTAAATGGATTATGAGGTTCTGTGGAAGAAGCTGTACTTGAGCTTGACCTTAAAGAATAGGCAAGGTTTGGACACACGGAGGCCGGGGGAAGGGCATTCCAGGCAGAAGGAGCTGTGGGCAAAGGCAGGTCACATCCCAATGTGAATTAGATAAAGGCTCAGAGGAGACAGAATGGGGAATGTGGGGCCCAACTGATCTGAGAGTTGTGGCTGATGGGACAGAGGACAGCACAGGTCAAGCAAGGAGGGGCCTTGGGCCTGTGCAGACATCTTCTCTGGGCCTTTAGATGGAAAGTAGAGCCAGACAGACTGGCTCCACATTGGGCCCTGTGGGCTAAAGATCGACCCTGTTAGACCCTGGGGACAGGGGTGGGAGGGTACGAAGGGCCCTCCAAGGTGTTCAGGAATCTCCAGTCCCTCTCCCTTCCCTAATCCCTCTCAGGCCTGACCTGAGGCCAAGAGAAATGTCACAGGTCCTCCAAGGTTACACCAGCTGGGGCCTGACCAGAGCAGGAAGCAGTTTCCAAGGCCACCATCCAGCCGGGGTCAGCAGGCATGCCCGGGCCTGGGCCAGGCCCCAGCTGCTCTGGGCTTTGTCTCTTCGTGTCTTGAAACCTTGAGAGGTCACTTGATCTTGCCTGTGGCTCTGAGCAAGAGGCCTCACGTCAGGGCTCAGCCAGTCCTGCCCTGACTCTTCTGGGCACAAGTTCTTCCCCACACTCTCTGAGGCCATCCTCCCTCTGATCCTATCTCTTGCTGTTCCTGCAACCATGTTGAGGCCAGGCCTTGTTCTGAGCCCTCACTTCCTGAAAACAGTCTCTCCACGACCGTGCCGACTTGCCTCCCCTTTTTCTTATCTTCTCACATCCCAGAGCAGGGCCACGGAAATGGAGGGTGGTGGCTGGGAGCCTGCCTGTAGACACAGATAGGCCTCTGTGCACAACCTATTCCATCCCGTACCAGCTAGGTGACCTGGTGAGTCATGTCACCTGATGAGTCACGTCACCTCTCTGCGTCTCTTATGAGAATTAAATGAGATTACGTATGAAGCCCTTGGCCCGGTCCCTGGCACACAGTGAGCATGTAGTCAATGGCTGGTGATGGCTAGGTAAATACCCCACACAGGCTGAGCTCCGGGGCCTGTGACCAGCCTGTGTGAGTCACACACCTCCAACCCTCGCCTCTTGTACCTTCCCGCAGGACCACAGCCAGCCCTCCCTCACCTGCACCCCTCCTAGGAAGGTGCTTGAATTCTAGTGTGGGTTTGGGTCCTTGGAGGAGGCTTTGTGATAGCACCTAGTTCTTTGCTTTAGCAATTGGGCCGAGTCCTCCCTGGGGGACCCAAGGACAAAATGACCCGGCTCAGCTAGAAACCTTGTCATCACAGTCATGCCCACCAATCCTCTCCCCTACTGCAAATATGAAAAATATTTTCTTGTGACTGTAATATGTTATGATTTGTCCCCTAGCAGTTGTGCCATCTTTGTCAGCATAACCTTTGCTGCCATAGTGCCCTGCGTTTGTGCTGGAAGGCTGGGGGAAGTAGGTGAATTCCGTGTTCACACACATGACCTGCTTGGGGCCAGGCATTTTATCCAGTGCTGAGGGTGTCACTGAGCACAACAGGCAGTCTCCTGCCCTCACAGGGCTTGCAGCCTTTTACAGGTGTTTATTTAAAAT